ACCAAAGCTGCACTGTTGGAACTTCCTTGACTAGATTTGATCGAATTTACTATCATTTTTGTCGCCGCTTAACACAGACTTTGCGACTTGACAATTTCGCATATGCTACCCTAGACCAACTGATATGATTAATCACAAATGGCGATCTTTTCAACTATACGAGTGCTCCAAAATCTTACTGTAATACCATAGGGCCATTTTCGGCAAACGCGTATGACCGAAATGTCATCGATTGCGGAACTACTAATTGCTTCTATTTGAATGTCCAACACTTTTTTGGATAACGGCAATAGGGAACTGTAAAGGCCCGTTGTTCAAGAGACGACGTTTCTTTATAAAAGTCTCTCCCACTCCACATTATTGTGCTACTACTTTAAGCTAAGCGTTGTAATATCTCTACTTTTTGCTTGGGGATTTCGCCAGCAGCATTCCGCTTCCAACAACAGGCAGGCAAACCGAAGTAACACAGTCGGCACCATGCGGGCCAGTCAAACCTGAGCAATTATTTGTCCCTACCAAACGCGACCTTGGACATAGCACTTCTCCGTTCACATGTACGACGTTATCGTTTTTTGTTTGTTGTCGACATGCTTGTCAACGATATAGTCCGCTTCCAGCGAATAGATCAGAATGCCTAGCTCAGAAATTACTTCTAAATAGCGTATAGTTACATTAAGCAGTCAATGTAGACTCTGCTTTTCTGACCTGCTTCTGTCTGTGTACGCCTGCGCTTATTGTGACGTAACAGTTTGAGCGGCCGGCGCCATTGTCGTCGTCGTCGCTGTCGTTCGGCTATCACACTTCGTGTCATTAGTTAGGGATAGAGTTGTCAAGAAGTTATTTCTTTAGAAAATTCACATTCATTATCCTCAGCATTGTTATTTATACCTGCTTGTTTAAAGCAACGTTTTATCGAAAACGATACGGTGTCAAGTACTCCACGACAACTGCGTCAGAGAGGAAAGCGTGAGCATCGAAATACGGCGGTGTGGATTCAGCGACACCTAAATGTCGCCGCCGCCGCCGCCGCCGCTGTCGAAATACGGCGGTTTCAAGGTAATGCCACTGCTGCTAATGATTTTTGCTGAGTGCAAAGTGAAGTTTTGAACAAGGAGCGTTGGAGAAAACGTTTTGTAATAATTTTAACGGTGTAATCGATTTTTCGTAACGAGGTAGAGTTGACACCTTTACCTAATACCAAAAAAGTCCTACTTTGAAAGAACATGGTTCATAGTACTGTTATCCGCAGCATCATTAACCACACCAACCCTATTAGCTTCGAGAAAAAGAATAATTGGCTAGTACCAGCTAGCGTCCAACCGATGCTGATACATACACATAATTACTATGTGCAGAGGGAATAAATAGTGGTTTTCTTGTTTTTCGACGTACATAACACTACAGAAGTAACATCGACGCTTAAGTTTCTGGTCGTGCTGGTAAAACGCTGCGTTGCGCGCGATTGGCCGACAGCATAAATTGCCTTCAGTAGAGGATATCGTTGTTCATACGTTTCGTCCGGCATCGCCGTTAGGCTTTTCAGGTTCGTTTCCAGCATGGAACAGAGTGTGTCTATGTCCTGGTTCATACCCAGATGTGCCTACCAAGATGTCCCTAAGATTAGCAAGCAAGTACGTTACCCACTATGTTACCACAAAGACTTTTTTGTACGATGACTGGAATTTTTCGTTTGCTGAGATCGATACTAAGTGTAACAAAAGATGCAGAACATGACGCCGCTGCGCGATCCAAGTCGAGCTACTGCTGTCGCCCGTTAACGCTGATACCTAGAGCAGGGCCTGATGGACCGCCAGTCGACGCAGTATTCGTTTCTATTCGTTCACTAAAGCCGGTTAATATCGGCCCACTTCTGTCGTTTTTGTTCAAATGTCGTCGAGAAACTACTCAGTGGAAAGCTAATGAGGTCCGCTTTATTTCGTGTTAGTCACCCGTCGAACTGAGTTGGGGATTTGTCGATAAAGACTCGACGTAGACTGATGCTACGTGTGTATAGTCAGTGTATACGAAGTGTTCCAGCCCACTGCTGCTTGCAATGGCACTGCTAGCGTCGTCGTCGCCGCTATACTCGTCAGCAGGAAAAGTCTTGCACAGAACATTTACACAGCAGATATAGGAACAACTTCGTAAAAATTGACGCTGGCCAGCTACAGGCATACGCACATTCGTGTGTAAGTAACGATTGATTTCTCCACCGTTTCCACTCTCCCGCCGATCTATCGCCACTTGTGCTATGGCAGATAGATATATAGTTGTCTGTGTAATAGTGGGGTAGTAAACCAGAACTGCCCCGTGTGCCAGCAAACAGCTCGATAATAACAATAACTGTAGTATTACCGCATGTCGTTGTAGTGGTAAAAATATCGTTATATTAGCACGAATATATTGAGAAAGAGCGCACTTTCAGCTATTTTTGCTTTTTATATATAAGGGATGAATATAAAAGGGGTGAAGGAAATCATCGGGGACAACTGGGATGCTCTAAAAACTTATAAGACCTGAATAAGTGCTGCTGCTGGCACCGCCGCTGCTGCTGTTGTTGTTGTTGTTGTGCAGATGTTGCCATGTTGCTACTACACGTTATAGGTATATTCGGGCAGTTGTTCCTGCCCGAAAAATGCCTTTCGGCAACGCACGGACACCCAATGACGAAGGGCCACCAAAGCGAAAGAATGTAGCTTAGAGAAAGACGTTATTCTAGCAATAGACTGCACTTCGGGGCAACTGACTCGGGCTCGCTGTACTGAGTATCACGAATAACAGTTATAATAAAGAAATGTAATAGATGATAGCAGTCAATGCTAGTTTTTCTTTTGCATCGGGCGTACTCCACATTGGTTACAATGCTTACATTTGCACGGCTCTGCCGAACCAGGAGCACAACTTCGATTTTCGGCGCTGTTTATGCGCATGCGGTCGGCTGGTCGATCGGCCGTGCGCACGTCATCAACGATTCGCTGGATAGCCACTGAAGGTACAATTGTAGTAGCAAAAGACGCAGCGTTAATAACGGACACCCGAAAATGGTTGCGAACACGAGATATAACTATTTTTAGTCACAAGGAAAAGTGGCAAAGGAAAATGACAAGAGGGAGCTTCGCTTTGGACGGCCAGGTTTCGTTCGAAGCGGCCAGACGCAGCGGAGGCTATGATAGGAGCGAGTGAAAACTACGGAGCTCGAATTTTTGAGAGAGACGTACAAGAAGCGAATTTGATAATTCGTTAGGTGTTTTAACTCCAGATTGACACGGTAAATCAAGTGAAAATTGTGCCGGTCTACTTCCACTTGTCAGATTTTCGATGTCGAACGCACCTTGTTGCTTACTAGTGGGTTATTTATCTTAGAGACAGCTGCTTGTATTAGTTGTGTCGTGTTTGGACAAGAGTTAGTTGATAATATTTTGAAAATCCGTGCGATGTTGCTGAGATTACTTACAATAATAAGTCAAACAATAAGAAATCATCATTATCATCTCACCCAATCAGTTTTGAAACATATGCAGGGCGTAGTTACTAGTCCAAAATCTAACTAGCATTTCGAATGATTATAGCGATAATCATAATGTATGTATAACTGGAGTAATAAGCGCGTATGACTTGATAGTCGCCTGCAGTTGTCAGGCACTTGTGACCTAGATTCAACTACAATTTTAATACCGTGTCACAAATTGGTCTCAGGAGCCAAGTCTCTGAACGGAATAGGTTCAATATGACATGAGCGTCATTTCCTTTGTGCTACAGAATTGTCAAACGCCTCTAGAGATGGCCAGACATACAATCAATACCTGATCCATAGTCAAGAAGCGAAAAACAGGTTGATGGCGGGCGCGTAAAATTCCACCGAAAATCAAACATCTGCGCAGCGAAGGGGCTAAACGGATCTTCTGCAGCTTGTACTCGTCAACCTGCATCGATTCGACTAGACTCAAACAAATCTAATAACGAGTCTAGGATAACTAACTAATACGTATGCTCATTCTACGCTCAGCGAACCAGTGTTCAGTATTAGCAAAAGCATACACAGCCGAATGGAGCACGGAACCGGTCTGCGTTCTATCGATATTAGTCGACTCTCCGTGACGTTTTCACACGTTCTGCGTGATTACGCACGCGCACAATCTATGAAATACACAGTAGGGGCATAACGTAGACATTACGAACCACTTCGATATCTGTTTCCTGTTGATGACATCATAGCATCCCACGGATGGTATAGAAGACATAGGCTGTACTCGCGCGGATGGGCTGTCTAATCTGTTTTCAAGCTCTCAGTTGAACTAGCCATCCCTAATATCCGTTACATTGTAATACTAGCATCAGTAGCGGGAGTCATCATTATATCTAGTAGCTACTAGAGTGAATATCGGCCCCTCATTTATGGATATATAGTAGCAATTCGAAAGAGCTTACAGCTTCATGCATTTATGTCCCTGTGCGAGTCCGGAACATATCGACGACTCGTCAACAGTTCCGCATTCTGCTTACCCAAACGAACGCCGTCACGGCTGCCTCTGCTGGCGTCTGTTTGGTCGCGTGGTCAGATGTCTTAGTGTCGTCGTGGCGTTGAAATTTACGTGGCTGGCGCGTTATTATCGCGTCGTGTCTCAATAGCTCTTCATGGTTCGTTAACTGTTCGTGGATCTGTATGTGGGGGACGTGGCGGGGCATTTAGTCTCGTTTATGTAGGTAAATAGGGCAAAAGCCGCAGCGTAACGTCGACGCACGTAATAATAGCAGCTCTGGTAGTATTTTGTGGTACCAGGGAACCCGATACACAAAAGTTGACTTCTATGAAACGGGGACTCCCGTGTTAACGGCTAGCGGCTCTGGTAAATGCTTTTTTTTTGTTATTAATCGGACGAATACAACGTATTTATATCGAACTGAACAAACAAACCGTGTCGATAACGGCGACAGTAGTGGTGGCAACAACGATCATAATGCTGATAATTGTTTTACTTGATGTGTATGTTAATTTTCAGGGACTATTCGAACATCGCTGCCAATGGGAGCCACCATTAACGTCACCTGGCATCTCGCCTATCCACATAGGGTTCGTATATATATCCGCTAGCTTAGTTTTCATAACCGGCGTCACATATTAATGAGCTTCATTCAGGTTCATTTCCGAGCAACGATATCGTCTCGCTTCGCTTAGCCGTGTCAAAAACCCGGCGAATCTGCAGATCCACATTTGTTTAGGGTCTATCGGTAGCCGGATAAAGGAAGATATTTTTCTCTTCTGTCTAATTTGCCTAATAAAGCTAGTCTATGTATAGATACGATTAATGGAACAGTATGGCTAATTAGAAAGCTATAATTATCTTCGTGTTTCATATATGTGTCGAAGACGCTGCAATCAATGACCAAAGTCGGACGTTGCTTCGTCATATATTGCTTTTCGTTGTATTATACGCGAGTATATCTGTTTTAATTTAAACGTAACGACTAGATAAGCTAGTCTGATTCGATTATAATCGCATCCAGATCGTATACCTGGGGCAAGTATCAGCTTCAATATTACAAGAATCACAAAGTTGATTATCAGATATATTAGTCAACTTTGAGTTCTATAAATGACTCCACTTAATTGGGCCAATGCGTGAGGTCCCTGATCGCTCTACACTTGAAATTGAAACGGAATTGGCGTTTCGCATTGTCTATGATTGAATCAGCAGGAAGGGGAAACCTCATAACGCCAGGGTGAATGTTCATGGCACGCGCGTGATCCGACAAGTCATCTCATAGAAAAACGACAGGTACTCGTGTTGATTAGACATTGTTTCAGATAAATTTACACAAATAAACGATATCAGAGATGAACCGGATCTGAAAAGTGAGTACAATGCTGAGATCTGTCGTGTTCGCAGCAGCTGTTTTCCTAGGCTCGACGAAAACTAGATATCTTTTTATAATATCTTCTCTGTCTTGAAGCTTTTGTTTCAGCAACCACGTTTTTCCATCGTTTCCGTCTATACAACGACAAGGTAACGTCGTAACGTATGATCAGCATCGTGCCATGCATGTAACGCGGATCTGTTGTATTCTAAATCCGTTTGAAAAAACCTTTCGCCTTTAACGTGCCTAATTATTATGCAATCCATCTTTGAATTTGCAGTTAATGCGCTGCCTATATATGTCACATTACATGGCCCGCTCGTTCACTATAGGACACGCGTTGGATTTTTTTTTCTCGTGCCTTATCTCCTCGTTGATGCTGCTTTGACACATCTCGTTCATTGGAAAACATATAATATTAGTATTAAGATTATTATTAATCTTTGCTGAGCAGCTATTTCAGTTACCAAATGGCATTCATTTTTTTTCTTGTCTAACGAATGTACCTACAATGGTCCTTAAGCTGGTGATACATCTCTAGGTAGTATACTCTTTCTGTTGCCGTTTTACTGGGCTGTAAAGACGGTTATTTACCTCCTTTTGTCCGTCAGTGGTTGAGCTAAGGTAAAAATGAATCATTCATATAATTATTATACTATTATGAATCTCATTGGGGCTGCTGATGAGAAAGACGGCGTTTAAAATTGGCTCAAATATAGTAGGTCGCTAACAGTCCTTATGGTCCTCTCCACGATCCGCCTGTCGGAGCTTTGCATTGAACAAATAGCGTCCAATTGATGTTGTCGTGTTTCTCTATTATTGCGTGACAAATAATAGAATGCCATTATTATCTCAACGCTTCTGAGGATTTAATTTTCTTTATATCAGTGGTATTGAGCAATATCATCCTGGGTATAAGCTGGTGTTCATTACATCTTTTTTACAACGAGAAATCGTAAAATCTAAAGTAATCGAAACTGTAGTAATAACAACGGTACGTCATATCTGCCAGATTTTTCAAAATTTAATAAAAATACAGCAAATAATCATTTTTATCAGTCAAAACAATAATGACCTTATAGTCTTTCTTCATAGCGCGAAGATCATAACAAGCTTTAGTGTAGCTAGTCCTACTGAGTAGCTACCTTTTAAATATTTTAATAATGAAAATAATGATTTCGTTATAGAGAAAGTATAAGATCTTGCTTCGAAGATGGTAGCTGGCAAAATCTGTTGTTAGAAAAATTTCTCATAGCCTTTGTTAATTTTTGACAACTGATTGAGCTGACTATACACACAACTGCAGTGTTTGAGGCAATTAATGAAAACAGATTATAATAAAATGACTACATTGACATAATTTTCGTGTAAGAGGTGAGTAATTCGTAGCCTCAATTTTGTTTACCATCCCGACTACCTGTAACGACTTTCAGAAACATATTCTTATATTAAAATTGTTGGAAAGCCCGAGAACTTTCGCCCCCATAGAGCTATTTACTGAACGGTAAACATTACCGTCCGTTCTAACGTTTTCAAATCCCAACTTGATGTCAAATGATCCTGAAACTTCTTTGATGCTATCGTTTTGTGCTACGAGCTGCCTTGGCTTGTCTTAAAATGGCGCATTTTCTCGATGGAATTGACAGCTGAATATGAAGACTATGCCGTAATCCATTTAAAACCTGATAAATGACCTTGTCTGTTTGCTTCCATTGCAAGGATTGTCCAGATGCCGCGCTACCACATCACACGCGTAGTGTTTTCTATTCGCTTTCTTAGTAATGCATCGTGGCTAATAGTAATTATTGCACATTGCAGGGAGACCGGTCAGAAGGTGACTCAAACCTAGAAAGAGAGACCTAATCTAGTTTTCTTAGTATATCAAAAAAATTCAGTTGACGAAATTAGCTTCATCACATATTATCTACACTTCATCACGTCGACGGCTAGAGGTTTTATAGTAGTTTGTGTAAAAAATCAAATATTGTGAAGGTTTATTATGTAGTAATAATAACAAAACATTATACCGTTTATTGTTTTCATTCTTGCTGCTACATGCATATGGGATACAACGTCCTATAGAGAACTGAGTGAGCAGGAAACATTCGTCTAGTCCCTCTTAGGTACGTAGGCGCAATGAACAGGAGTGTGGGCTCGTTTTTTCAATGAAATACTGAGAAGTTGCTTCTTCATCGTACCCAGGTCGTTCTCACAACAGAACGAGACAAGCAGCTATAAATGATAATACAAAAAAAAGTAGGCAAAGTAGTATACGCATGTCGAAGATTGGCTGGCACTTCGGGGATCTTGATCTCATCTTCAACTCGGCTGTTTCTAACGGTGATATTTCAACGACTTCAAGTAACGACACTTTTCAGTGAATTTCTTCACTTGGTGATTGCGTGACTGCCAACGCGCACACATACCCATTCCCAGGCATTCCCAATCGTAACTTAGCTGTGGCAAATGAGCTAGACAGTTGGCGTTTTGGCAAACACGGCAAGACTGCTAGTTCAAACAAAACAAGAAAAACATTTTAATCGTATACTATCAAAAACAAATATCTACAAAAAAAACACCATACGTATGGGTGCCTGTTAGATCATGACTACTCTTCTGCACGTAGTTCGCGTTACTAAATCTACGAGGGAGTATCTGACGACGGCCGAAACAATACAAAGGCTATCGGGCAAAATACGGGAAATTTGTAGTTGTGGTTTACGATGCGTGATGCAGAATGTATTCGTGGTTTAGTTGGGCAACAGCGTACCCCTTAACAATTGTCTTTTCCCCTCTGTTTATTGGCATCATCAAATGACAATAAAGAAATATGGTAGCTGGTAGTAACTAAAACGTACCGTTGTTTTTGCTGAAGATAAAAAAATAACCTTAGCAGAATTCGTAGCTTTTGGATAACTCTGCGACACTAACTGGTTGGCTGAAATTTCATTTCTAACGCTAGACGGAACTTTCTTGTTTTTTTATATGTTGCTACTATATAGTTAGTTAAACTTATCTACAGGCATACTTATGCTCTGTCAAATTTATTCTTCTATACACTACATCTACGAAAGCGACGGTGTTAGTTAAGTTCGTTAAGTTTTATTTTAGCAGTAGTAAAAATGTAAGGCAACATGACTGCTATATACTTAGATTCGTGCTTGTTCGCCCCAAGCGCCTTAATTAACCTGTTTAATTGTGGGTGAAGAACCTGCTATGCAATTTTTACTAAAACAGAGAGTGTGCGCTTCAGGCGACGTAGACAATAGCTATAATTAAAATAAATCACTTTTTATAATTGTTTAGATTAGGGAAATAACCTTTGGCCCCAGCACTACTCATTTCTGGCATACTAAGTGTCAAGAAAGTGTTCTTATGAGAAGAGTACCTAAAGATTTTTCTTGGTTACCAGCATTTCAACATGAACCCTACGTGCCAGGTGACCGGATTATCTGACTAAAATAGCTTACAGGGACACAACCTTTCGGAAAGGTCTTCATTATGACATCTAACGTTAGGCGGCAATGTTAAGGCAGCCCAGGACGTAAAACTCGATACGCTTAGGTTTCTATTGTAACAAATTTAAGTGTCGGCCTAGGCTAAAGGCCGATCAGTGGTCAAAATCACTAGTGGACAAAGGACCTGATTAAATTCTACGGCAACGTATTGTCCTGATTTAATGTTTTTTATTTTTTAATTAACCGACCCCGTGGTTGAACTTTGATTAACCATGTTATATCCGGCGAGGCCGCCGGTGTGGGTGGCCTGTATGGCTAACACATAAGTCATGGACAAAGCTCATTCGGCGTAATCTATGTGCTTTGTTAGCTCATCACTTTTTTCAGCGTATCATTATGCTTTTTTGTAATTGTAGAATGCTGTTGTTCTTATTGGGTAACCAATGCACAAATAGGAAAGATGATCGACACGACAACACTAGCAGCGTGTCCTTGAATAGATTTAGCTGGAGCGTGAACCCTGTGGAAGTAAGTAAAAAATGTTATACAATTACTGGCGGTACAGCATAAAAATAAGTTAAGTAGTTAATATTGACAAATTCAAGATAAATTAAATATCTGAGCAATAATATTGTTAAACATGGAAACAGGTAAATGTGAATTAGCCCGTGGATATAATAGTTGCTTCACTTATTCCTGTCTAGCAATTTCGAGGCGTTCCCAGGTGAACGCATCTAGTTACTCACATACATTTCTA